CTTGGAGCAGACTTGAGATTGCCTTTCCTCTATTAGCAAATTTTTATTCAAGATAGAAGCTCCTATCTCTTTATCCATGGCTAAAGCATCCTCTTTCTCTGCCTTAACTGTATTCTCCTCGATATTTTCTCCTTGCCTCTTACTCTTCTCTGCTTCGTCATACTCACTCGGCACATGATATCCAAGCCCATAGGCATAGCTTTTCTCTTCTGCATCAATTAGAACCCCTTCCTCATCTAAATCTTCTTCCTCCTCCGTTTCAGCGTCCGGCAAGTTGAACATTCGCTTAACGTCTCCGAAGTCAATGAGTTCTCTTTTAGCCTGCATTCGATCCTCAGGCTCAGAAATAGACTTTTCGGTTGTCAGTAAACTTCTGAATTCAGTATCGGCAAACCCAGATGTATCGTTGATTTGGGAAATTGTTGGATTTGAACTTGCTGTTGTGGTTACTATCGTAGAGTGGCAGAAAGTGAGAGAAGGCAATAATATTGAGGAAGGAGTGGTACTATCAGCACCTGACGGAGAAATATTGGAGGCCATTACAGCTAGTGAAGAGGCTTCACTTTCCGTCATATGGGTGGCAAGAGATTGTAGGTCAATGAGTTCATCACTGCTGCTTTGTTCAATTTCATTGTTACTAGACCCAAAGTCCTGAATGGTGAGAATAAAACCATTTGAAGAAAATGACCCTTAGCAAAATAAAAAGTTATAAGGTAAAAAGTAAGTTTCAAGGTGATATGTTAAGAGAGAGAGAGAGAGAGGGAAAAGTAGAAAGAGAAAATTCTGAAGATGATTCAGAAAAAGTAAGATGAAAATAAGGTAAGTTAAAAGAGGGTTAGTGAAGAATAGGAGATCAGGAAATGACAAACTTTGACATCGAATATAGACTGAAGTAAGTATATAAATTAATATAAAAATGAATCGAGAACAGTAGAAGGGAATTGCTAATATAAAGTTAAAAATTGAAAAACGGTAGGGATAGAGGGGAATAGAGATTGCACGAGTGAAAAATGGATACAATCACCTCAAACAAAATAGGATGAAAACATCCCTTATAACTTTAATTGGAGGTGTTTTTGAGCCAAAGAGCCTGAAGGAATAATTAGGCTTCCCTGTACTTAACCTCTATCCTGTAGGGTTGGCCAAAGATAATCTTGTTAAACAGATGCGAAGCGACTTTTTACTAGTAGGTGTTAATTTAGCTAATCAAGTAGTTATTTGTTAACTTAATTATATGGAAAAATGAGGAATAAACAGAAATAAATAAGGAAAATGATTTACAGAGTAAAGGCGAACTAATATAATAGGAAAACAGAAGTAATAAAAATATATAGATAAAATTGCTATACAAAAAAATGAGTAACTGGGTTTCGATAAGTCGCCTGAGATAACATTGTTGGGAAGAATTTCATTTCATATGAAAGTGGATGAAGAAGAGTTTTGAAGGTTGATGTCACCAGAAGATGACGGCTGATTCCCATTTTAGTACGGCCGTTATGCTCTAGTACGACGTTCAGGTTAACGCAGCCCACGAATCTTCCCTCGTTTCAAGTCAAAGCGAACTAAGACTTCGTCCATCATATGATAGGCATAATCAAAGTTAGAACTCATTCTTGTAAAAAAAGTCTCACGCTAACACTAAGTCAAAAAGAACATCCGGCTCTATCTTATCTCTTATATATGCTCATAGCTAAAAAATGAAAATGTATAGGCATAAATAGATATAGAATGGTTTGGCTAATTATATTTCATATTGGTTATGCTAATTTTGCTCGAGTGTGTGCGTTAAGATTTATACGCAATACCGGTCCCAAATCAGAATGGTCAAAAAAGCCTAATGCCAGGCTCTAGTCATAAAGGCTTAATATGCCAAGAAAAAACCAAGACTCCTGCGTAAGTATGTTAGCATCTGTGGCTGAGTTAATGAGATGTAAACTTGTAAGCGTGTAAGTCAGGTTACGAAACCATTCATCCTAACCTCTCAGTCTAGGGTCATTAAGGTTGAACAACCCAAGGAGAGGCCTGAATGGGACCGCGTAATCTCGAACGTCTGGTTTGGTTGATGAATTTAAGCTTACATGTTGAACGAGTGTGAATAAGGCTAGAACCATCACTGATTAGACAAGTTGAGTCGCCTTCTTTTGGATGTCAGCTCAATACCCTTTCTCTAATGAGGAGTGACATTGAACTACAAGTTGTCCCTTTAATTGATGGTCATGTAGAAGCAGCATATAAGAATGGGACAGTTAAGACTATTATAATGAAGCTTAAGGAGAACGAGCAATTAGTATTAAGGCCAGACAAAGGAGGAGCAGTAGTAGTTATGGATAAGACTGATTATGTAGAGAAAATGTTAGAGGCATTCGATGATGATACAACATATAAGACTATAAGTAGGGACTCGACAGAAGGCCTTTAGTTCAGACTTAAGGGTCTTCTGCAACAATCTATAAGCAGTGGAGAACTGGAAAAGTGGAAAATAAATGAGCTCCAGCGAGATGCTAAACCCCCAACTATGTATCGTCTGCCCAAAATCCATAAACAAAGTACTCCACTTAGGATCAATGTAAATAATAGAAGTAGCGTGATGCATAAAACATCACGATTTATTTGTACTCAGTTAAAGCAAATCTCTGAAACTTGGAAGTTTTCAGTAAAGAACTGGTACGAATTTATTAAGTTAATTGATGATAAGACGATAGAAGGGATTTGCTGGTAAGTTTCGATGCAGTTTCTATGAACACTAATATAAGAGCGTTAGAATTAACTCTAGATCAACACCCTTAAATCATGACAGGTAAAAAGTTAAGCAAAGTTAAGCAAAGTTTTAATAATTAAATTAGTCAATTTGGCAAGGTATAATACATATTTTATCTTCAATGGTAAATTGTATGAGCCGAAACGGGGTTTGGCTATGGGATCTTGTTAAGCCCCTATTTAAGCTAATTACTACATGACCCAATTAGAAGTTCGCGTGTTTCAAGAGACATTCCTAGTTCACTATATGGACGATTACTTCGGCGCTTGGCAACACGGATAAATAGTTTGGGGGAATTCCTTGAGCCAATAAATAGAATAGATTCAAACACTAAGTTTGGCATAGAGTTAGAAAGGGAAAACAAATTTCCTTTTTTGGAGATATCAGTGAGCAAAGAGGTAATAAGTTAGGTAGAGATGTACATAGAAAACCCATTCACGCGGGTTTCCTTATTAATGTCTTCTCGAAGAATACATATAAAGTACAAATAGGACTTATGAAGTATATGATAATAAGGAGTCTGCGTCTAGCAGATGCAAACTATATGGACCAGGAGATTGGTAGATTTCCAAACAATCAACCAATAAAATTAGTAGACGCTTACATATAAATTGTAGTTAACAAGATTAAGGGAGTTTTTTATCAGGCTCGGAATAGAAATCTAGACACTCAGTTCCCGATTTTGCCTTCCTGTCAGCTTGCGAAAAAATAGGGATAACTACTGAGGAAATGGAA